TAACTATAACGTAAAGTAAGAGAAATCCCTAAATTTAATATCTTCCGATATTAACACTCTTGTAATTAAAGTTATTTTTTAAATACTAATATTATTTTATTTTATATTTTGTACTATCTATGTATAATTAATATTTATAAATTTATTTATTTTTGAAATATATATATATATATATATATACATATTAAAGAATTGTTAAATAAACTTATTTAAAATAAAAAAATATTTGTGAATATTTATTAATATTCATAAGTATAAAAAAAGTAATATTTTTTCAAACAAGTATCTGGTTAGTAGATAGTTACTATGCTGGCGATTTGCAGTTAGAAAAGTATATACTGTCTCCAATTGTTTGACATACAATCAATTGATAATCTCATTTTAATATTTAATAATAATAATAATAATAATTTTGTTTCAAAATTTAAAATAAAGTTGTCAATAATTTTTTATAATAATAATAATAATAATAATAATAATAATAATATTATTATTATTATTATTATTATTATTATTATTATTATTATTATTATGTAAATTAACCTAACAGCACCAACACAGATTGAAAACCAAAATACCTCCCCATAGTTATTAAAAAAATACCATATTTCAATGAATCTAATAAATATTCGATTAAATATTTTATGAAATAATATAATGACACCTAAACGGTAATATTGTTCAGAGAATATAATATATTCATCACTAAATTAATTAAGACAAAGCTTCTTTCTTTTTTCACTTCATATACGTAGTGGCGAGTTTCTTGGACTATAAACCCATTTTTTTAAATTTATATATTTACAAAATATACAATTTATATAGTAAATAAAAAAAATTATATTCTTTTACATTTCATATTTTTTCATTTTTTATATTTTTTCATTATCTATTAATTTATATTATTTGACTATCAAAATTATTACTTAAGATCACAGTGTAACTGCACATAAATTTAGTTGCTTGATACAAATGCTGATGACATCAAATCTGGCATGCGAAAGTTAAAATTGAAAGGAATGGTTTACGAATTTGATTTTTCTTTTCTCCTAAGCTTTCTTTATATCTTCTAAGTATACGACTAATTATTTTCGAATGTCGTGTTGTTTTGGCCACATGTTCTTTTGGTTATATTTAAAAAAGGTTTGATTGAGGTTTACCAAATTGACATTTTACATCCTTTTAGTCAGTGACATATATAGACAAACCTATTTTCTTGTCAATCTTAATTTTTTAATAAAAACCAAAAGTATAAACTAATGATATGCAAATAACAAACGTGGTCAAATGTCACAAAACAAATTTACAACGCGTTAAATAAAGAAAAAGAAAACTTAAATGAAAATTATTTTCTAAAAATGAAGATATTTTGAACTATCAGTATTGGCTACAAGACATTTTTATTTATTATAACTAACGCTATGACATGCATGTTTTCAACAAGGAAAGCTTTTGTTATGCCTAAAAACAAACATCCACCTAGTACTTTTTTGCACACGAAGCTTTCGGTGTCACACCTTCTTCTCATGCTTCTCGAACTTCAACATGGATCCATTGCTGAGAAATTTCTTGGCAGCACAAAACTAAGAGATGATGTAGCTAGCACTTGGGAAGTGGGACTAAGAACTCATAGATTTATAAAGAAATGGTGTCATGCACCGCCATAGCCATATTCCAATGCAAATTGGTTAACTTTACGAAGTTGGAAATTGAGATTTGGGTAATTAAAAGATGAGACCTTATTAAACTTGAAAAAAGGCAGCCACAATATATATATATATGATTTCGCCATTCTTGACCTTTGCTTTAATTCCGCGTGATTCATATCACTCATTGGGGTATACTTTTCATGCAACTATACTTTTATATTACTTAGCCAGTGGCCTCTAGCTAATACACCAAATAATGCTTACATACATGTTATTCCAAGAACAAAAACAAAAACAAAAACGCGTTTATTTCTTTTAGTAAATTAATTATTAAGTTGTTAAGGAGGAGATGACCCCGCCGACTACATAAAGTTTTAATAATATTAAGTTGTTAATCACAAAAACCCTAGGGTTATAAAAGAAAAAGAGAGTCAATAATTGGAGGAAGAAAAAGTGGAATATGAATCTCACGTAGTAACATAAGAATAGGGTTTGTGAAATATGGGGGGGTCTCCCAAGGGTGGTGTGGGGAAGCTTAGGGATAAGAAATAAAAACACATATCCCTATCATATCATGCATCAGATATGGCTGGCTGGTTAAAAGGAACATCTATGAATCTATGTAAATTAATCTCTCTCTCATATCTTTGGTGTGTAGCCATTTGGAGTGTTGCTTGTTGGAGCATTATATTTGATATATAGGATCACACACACACATATATATAGTAGTAGTACTGGAGCAAGATTGGAATGAATGAATATGAATATGAAAATTGAAAAATGAAATATTTGATGAGTCATTCATTCCAAAGCAAATTTAATAATATACACAAGAGCTTTGTAGAAACGCCAAGCTCGTAGCTTACAATCTTTTCATGAAAAAGAGAGTCTCCCATGAAGTTCAAAGCCTCATGCACATGCATCCCTCTCTCCCTCCCATGAAACTTTAACCACTTCTCAAAGTGGAGCCACTCCCTATGATTTTCCCATATAAACCTCTTCCTATGCCCCACTAACTTGTACTTCCCTCTCTCTATATATACCTACTCACTCACTACTTCACATCATTTAAACTAACTACACATGTACTTAGGTTCCTCATTAGTTTATTAACAACACTTCACTGTCAACTCATTAAATTAAGACATACTACTACTACTACTACTACTACCACCACCACTTTATCATCACCATCTACGTTGAATCATACTATATATATGTATATTTTATTATTAGTTAAGATGATTTACGACACACCGAAAGTGACATTGTTCAATGATTTCTAGACTGCATGTAGCAGGGATTTTTATGAAGCACATTAAGTAAGAGATTCATATGTCATTTCGAACCAAGTTCATGAGGGAGAAACTATACGTGCAAGTAGCCTATAGGATAATCGGATTGTGTCGTCAAAAGCTAATAGTCCAAATTCCCAACTGAACAACTATCTAATCTACACTGCACCACTCTGGGCGTAGTGCTTGTTTTTTTTCATCATTTTCCTACCATCAAATAATGTATATATTCTCGACGCGTATAGACATAAGTTTTCAAAAAATAAAAGTTAAAGACAAAACGTTTATAATGGAGAAATAGAAGAGAAGATTTATTGATTCCGAAGGATGCAAAGGTAACTGGAGTTAATAGACTACAGTTAACTAATAATAATAACAGCACAGAGAGAAACCAAGTAGTGACTATTTTGTAACTAACTTAACCAGAAAACAAATATTACAACAGTAAGTAATGTGTACTGTAATACTGTGATAGTAACATTATTGGAAATATTGTGAAGGATTAATTAAAAGGTTAATAATACATCATTTTATGTTAAATGAGAAAGAGAGTACGAAAGGAAAGAAGAAAAGGTGGTAAATGACAGATGGCATGAGTGGTGTGGGGTTGGCAGAGTGGGCAGAGGCAATGGTTTGATGCATTGAGGTCCACCTATCTTACTCACCTCTCTCCCTGCCACCTCATCATTATATATTTTAATATTTTTACAAATTTTAACTATTCTAAAATAACAATATTTTTTTATTCTTTCATAATTTGAGAGGAAAAATAAATATTAATTAATTCTTATTTCTTTAGTGAATGCTTTTGACACCTACAATACGAATTTCATTAAATTTGTATATGAAACAAAAACTTAATATCCCTCTGAATTTTTTTTTTAATTTTATAATCTAAAATAGTAATGAGTTATCTTAACTATTAATCAATAACATTATTTAACTAATAAATCATAATTTAATAAATGTCAATAAATAATAGTTAAAGATCAGAATGAAAATAATTTTTTTAATTGGAATATATAAAATACAAAATATGAAAAGATTATATGTAAAATCACAAATTTACATAACTAAAAAAATATTTAAACCTTTATTTATTTTTGCTGCATAACAAAACTTAAATTTAATTACACTTTTTATGTTAATTATGGTATGTATTTGTTAAATTACTTTGCTGATTCATTTAGTTTCCTTTCACTCTTGTGGACCCAAAGAATCAGATGGGGATGACATGTCATCATCATTGCCTCCTAATTCTCTTCCATTATACATGTTTGACTATTTGCTAATTACTAAAGACATCCCTTTCCAAAATTAATCTTCGAAACGGCCACTTATATTTTCGAATTTTACCCATTGGCCCCTGTGGAGCAGGAACTTGAGGCATGGAAATTTCATTGGCATCAGTTGCTACCTAACTCAATTGTTATAAATTGAAAACAGTGTTTTATAATAAAAAAGAAAAGGAAGGCCCTGCGACTGTGATGATGGAAGAAAAGTTTCGAAGAATAAATTGTCACGTAATTATTTGGCAATCCTGGAGCAATTTTTTTAACGATCGCCACATACTAGGATCTAATAAAATAATGGCACAGAATATAACGGTATAAAGTATTGACATACTCAGAACAAAAACAACGTTCTAAAATACCCACATGAACAGCCTAATCATGATTTGACAATCAAAAACGATATTTGCACATTAAAAAGTTTAACATCGCAGTGATGGCACTTGAATGATAAAAAAAGAAAAAAAATAGTATAAACTAAAATATGCCCTTTTGAATAGTTTAAAATGACGTAATGATATTTTAATGTAGAAGAGAGAAGAAAGAGCATTAACTCTCCCACTCCATCACATGCACCTATCATGGCCAATCCCCTATTTAAGCTCCCCAATCCCTCCTCATTCTCCATTCATTCCAAAGCTCGCATTCTCATTTCCAAACCCAACTTCAACTTCATCTTCAACTTAACTTCCTCTATCTCAACACCATCTTCAAACCAAACCACTTTCAAAACACACAACACACAACAATCCAAATATCAGAAAATGGAAAACTTGTTACGCCTAGTGGACCACGAAGACTTCTTCTCTCGTCGTTGCATTTGGGTGAACGGCCCTATAATTGTAGGGGCAGGTCCCTCAGGGCTTGCCACAGCAGCATGCCTTAGAGAACAAGGGGTGCCCTTCATGGTTCTGGAACGTGCAGATTGCATAGCCTCACTGTGGCAGAAACGGACCTATGACAGACTCAAACTTCACCTCCCTAAGCAATTCTGCCAGCTCCCGAAACGCCCTTTCCCTGAAGATTTCCCCGAATACCCCACAAAGAAACAGTTCATAGAGTACCTAGAGTCTTACGCCAGGCACTTCGAGATCAACCCTCAGTTCAACCAGTGTGTTCAGTCCGCAAGGTACGATGAGACTAGCGGGTTGTGGCGGGTGAAGACCGTTTCCTCGAGTGGCGCCACACGCAACGAGGTGGAGTACATTTGCAGGTGGCTCGTGGTGGCCACTGGGGAGAATGCTGAGTGTGTGATGCCTGAGATTGAAGGCTTGAGTGAGTTCAAGGGTGAGGTCATCCATGCTTGTCATTACAAGTCAGGGGAAAGCTTCAGGGGAAGGAAGGTCCTTGTTGTTGGCTGTGGCAATTCCGGCATGGAGCTCTCTCTTGATCTTTGCAACCACCATGCTTCTCCTTCCATGGTTGTTCGCAGCTCGGTAAGTTTACTTGCCATGCAAACTGTCAGTATGAAAAGAATTTACACTATCATTCAATCACAAATCGTACACCAGATGATAACTTGAAGAGTTGTTACTAAAAGAGTAAAAAAAGGTTATTTTATATGGACAATTTGTGATTGAACGATAGTTAATTTTAATCAAACTGTCAATCAATATCATTCATCAAATAATGAATTTTAAAGTAAATATTGTAAAAGTAGAGAAATTAACAGATATGGAAGATATATGATTGAATGACAGTTGTTTTTGTGTGTGGAGAAAAAGAAGAACATGTTTTGAGGATGGAATCTAACAGGGATGTTCTGTTTTTTGGATACAGGTTCACGTGTTGCCTAGAGAAGTATTTGGGAAATCAACGTTTGAATTCGCGGTTATGATGCTGCAATGGCTTCCCCTTTGGCTTGTTGACAAGATTCTCCTGATCTTGGCATGGTTTCTTCTGGGGAACATAGAGAACTTGGGGCTCAAAAGGCCTTCAACTGGTCCATTGGAGCTGAAGAACACAAAGGGGAAGACCCCGGTTCTGGATATTGGTGCCTTGGCGAAGATTAGATCCGGTGAAATAAAAGTGGTGCCAGGAGTCAAGAGATTCAATAATGGAGAAGTTGAGCTTGTCAATGGTGAAAAGCTTGATGTTGATGCAGTGGTGCTTGCAACCGGTTACCGCAGTAACGTTCCTTCTTGGCTTCAGGTGAGAATATGTTCTAGATTTTTTTTTTTTTAAATAGAAAAAACGGTTTTTTTTTTTTCTAATATTTTCATCACAGAAGATTGTCAGTTCATTAAGCCTTTTGGGGCAGCTTGGTTTTGTCCTTTTTTAACTTTTTGGGGGGGCCTGTTTTGGAAGCTTCTTTTTTCAGAAATTTATAGTAAATGTTTTTAAGCATGAGGAGCAGTGAATTAATGTTGTTTGGGTTATGTTATGTGCAGGAAGGTGAATTTTTCTCAAAGAATGGATTCCCCAAAATGCCATTCCCTCATGGTTGGAAGGGAAATGCTGGACTTTATGCTGTGGGGTTCACAAAGAGAGGGCTCTCTGGTGCTTCTTCTGATGCTGTGAAAATTGCTCAAGATATTGGCAAAGTTTGGAAAAATGAGACTAAGCAAAAGAAACAGCGCACTACTGCTTGTCACAGAAGATGCATTTCTCAGTTCTAAATTGCTAAATAAAAGCACATGACATCATGACATGACCACTAGCTAGTGCTGCTTTCTTTCTTTTTAGTCTCAGGAATTTGTTGTTGTATAAAACAAAATAACAGTATCTTGTAAAAACACAAACACACGCCAAAAGAAAAAAAAAATAGCACAGAGATAGAGCCCTCTCCGATGACCAAGGTTTTTTATATGTTGGTCGTTTTTTTCAAAACTAAGGATGATGAGGCTTTTACCTTGTTTTTCTTTCATTTCAATTTTTTTCCCCCCAATGTTCATGTACCTTACAATAAATATGTAACAAGTACATCACGTACTTCAGTGATCTATTCCAATGCTAGAATTTCAACTTTTCAACTTCACTTTCAATCTCTCTCCCCTTTTGTGTCAGTAGATTTTCCTTTTAAGGCAAAGAAGTTAATGTCACTGATTAATCACAAGGAAAGTCTTCCAATTTGATTCTCATCTATAGCCAGCATGGTAGAATATAAGGATCGAATATACTATTGGATACTACATGACCCTGCATTCGAGTTTAACAACGCATAGTTTTTTTTTTTTTTCCAACATTTGATGCAGAGAGAGTTAGAAAGGTCATTAACTGCTTCCTACTTTGAGGCTTTATCTTAGATTATGAAATCGTTTTCTTTCTATATTTTCACTTGATTCCAACCAGTAAGACTCAATAAGTGATCTACAAGCAAGGAAAGTGGTGAATAACAGATGGAAAAATTTGCTTGTGTGTTGGATGAGTATTGCATTAAATGGTTCATGTGATGTAAGGTTTATAATCCTGTTCATCTGACACATTTGCAAATATAGATGTTGTAACTTACATTGTCTTTTCTGAAAATAGCAGAGTTGTTATATCCTGAAATGGCCCACAGATTCAGTGTTTGTGATTGACAACTCCTTCATCAAAACTTCTAACATCAGATGAGTGGGGCTCATCAAATAGAACTCTCTCTCTCTCTCTCTCTCTCTCTCTCTGGCCAAAGATAGCTAAATTGAAAAAATATTCCTTTTAAAATTGCTATATTGGGTTAATGGATTCCATCCACATAAAGAGAAATGGTGTTGCTGAGATCATACAAAATACTGCTACACTGCACATGCCTAATGGCTAGAGCCACAAGGTTGCCATAAAAATTACAGTGAAATCATTATTCTACACCATAATTCCAAACTGTAATACAGTTCACATCACTTGGAAACTAATTATTAAGCCATATGAACAGAATCAACTGCTTTTCACAGTTTTTTTTTCAATAAATTTAAAATATTCTCATTCACCAAAAAAATTAAATAAAATTTTCTATTTAAGTTTTGTTTATAGAAAGATTTTTTTTTCACAAAGACAGATAAGAAAAAGAACAAAATAGACGTAATGTGAATCATTTATAAGATTTTTTTTCTCATTCTAATAATTCCCCATATATTTTACTCTTTCTGCTCTGTATTTATATTCCTTGAAGAACTTTATCTTTTAAAAAAGACACCATATCTCTAATTTTATTTTTCTATTCAACCAATAAAAATGACAAGAGAAATTAACACTTTTTTTTCTCTCTCTCTTTAGTTTTCTCTTTTATAACAAATAATAAAAAATATTTCATCTTTTTCCCATTTTCTTTTCTCCTACCAAATAGACTTTTCAAAAGAAAAATTCAAGTCAAATAAAAAATATAACAATTATATACATAGTCATGAATGTTTAAAAGTATATATCATGACATTTCATCCTTAAATAATTTATATAATTGTTTTTTTACTATGAAATAAGTTCTTATTATATTTAATCCTACTCTTGTACAAATTTAACACAGTACAATTTTGGTCCACCAGATTTTTTATTCCACTTATTTCTAATCAAGTTTTCGATAAATTTGTTGTACTTCCAAGCTGTTCAAATCATTTCAAATCTCAAATACATCATAAACACTTAAACAGTATTTTGGAGGAAAGTAACTTTTAATTTAAAAAATAAAATGATTTAAATAGCTTGAAAATAACTTGCAAGACTAAATTATACATAATTCAAATTTGATAAAAAATATTAAACAAAAAATTGTTTCATTTTTAAAGTGTAAATAATGTAAAATAAAACATACCCTTGATAATTATAAACAAGTGAAATACTATTTAAGGGTGAATTATAATTAGAAAAAAATATATACCTTTAATAATAATAGAAATAATAATGTTGTTAAAAGAAATAGTTGTAGATTCCTTTTTGAGAATTTGAGAATAAGTTAATAATGGGCTAATAACAAGAGTCCATCAACCTTCCAACTGCAAATAGACAACAATGGACACCATCGATTCAATCATCACCAATTATTTTAACATTTTATCATCAACACATTTTCCATAGTATTATACCTTACCTCACCTCAATCATACTGCTACAATAACTAATTAAACAATAATCTGATTTAAAAAAAGATAATCCTTCATTTAAATAAATCAACCTCTGACTTGTGATTGATTTTATTATCTTTTATAATTTGTGATTTATAAGCCAATGTGCGAACGACAAGACTTTATGCTAAATCTTAGGCAATGAACATGAAGTTATGGTAAACAATCTTCATTTTATCTGTTCTTACTTTCTCATCAATAGCAGAGTCAAAAGACTGAACCAAAGTCAAAGGGAAGAACATAAAAATAGGGTGAATACACTGCATAATATACATAGATATCACATGCAACCCTAAAGAATTTAAAGCAACCCTACAAGTTTGTAGGGTATATGACTCAATTGTTAAGACTCCAATCCTTGGAGAGTTATGAGTTTGCACGTAAAAAAAAACAATTCTCATTGCATAACTCAATCAATTAAGTCAAATCACCCACCTTTCAACTTCATACATACCTGTATCTTTCCTTTTAGCCACTCATTGTTTTAGAAAAAAAAAATATATATATATATATATATATATATATATATATAATACGTTAATAAATAATTATTAGTTTAGTTAGAAGCCAAAATTTTGATAATAATAAACATTTTATTATTATTTTTATCTAAACATTTTTCTATATCATGTTGTTTTTCTTTATATTATTTTTTCCTGATTTACTTGTTACAAACAAGAGTTGAATTATGCAATGTGCTCAACAATATGTTTTCTTGTACTTAATTAATAATAGTGTCGTACACCCCTCAGAATTTGAACTCTACAGTGATTATTAGAACATATTTAGCAATCACGTGAGTACAGAACATCTAAAAATTCAGATACATAAAGCTACCAAATACCAAGACTCGTATAAATCAAGCAAGCAACTATATATAAAATACAAAAGAATGTGTTCTTCGTAATACTTTAACTTAGACCTTAATGACATAGAAAGGACCAAGTCCTTTTAGGATACAAGCTAGTACTACTATACATGAAGCTTTGACTACATATATATCTACAATGTAAACTCTGTGTTGAACAAATTAGTGATGTAATAATCTAATGGCTAAAAATGAGTAAGTTGTTTGGAACAAATTTTCTTCATGATCAGCTCACAGTCAACAAAATTTGATTATGCAGAAGCCATATTATGGAAGGTTAACCTTGACTAACAGGGTTTTAAAACAATGTTATGTGTGTGAAAAACAAAATTTCACTACGACTTTATGAGAAATTTGAGGACACAGACTTTTGAGTGTTGCTTGTTACTGCTTATACATGTCTATATATCCTTGTTAACCTTCAAACAAACATAACGTAGCATGCAGAAACAGCCCATATGAGTGCCCATACTGAGTGATTCAAACACTAGAAAAAAAATTGAACTGAATGGCCCGTCTAAGCTCTTCACCACAATTGAACATCCTCAATTCAGAATCTGACATGGAGTGTTGTTTTTATTTTCAAACTTGACTGCATTTAACAGCTCTACCTAATTTGTCTTGTTTCCCTTGGCCTCCATTAGATGTTTCCAACCTTTTCTTCTCATTGGTGACATTCACTTGTAAAACGCATTAAAAGTAAACACATGGGGTGGCCACCATTCTTCTCCACAAGGACCCATCATTCCTCTGCTTCCTCAAACTATGGTTGCTACTAGTGTGCAAATCAGAACTTGTTCTCTTCACATGCATATGTCCATAATGGACTTGTGCACTTGGACCTACAAAATTCCAAATTTGAAAAACATACTTCTATGGGTAAGGCTTGTGGATGCCAAGCCATGATACGCATGTGAGAAAAGGCATTTTCTTTAAACAGATTTTATGTAAGTATATATGTACTATACATCCCAGCAATACCATATATGGCAATCAAAATAGAGTCCCTAACATCATGTATTCGTCATTGATCATTTATCAAAAGATTTTTAGTAATTGCGTGTGGATATACATATCTTGTATTCTTTGTATTCGTGGAGTGCTACTTTGTATGACTAGTATTTAAGGTGAAATTAACTTGCTGAAATTTTATTCTTCACTTGGATTATACCCAGAATAACAGAATTAATGCAGCAAATACACTTTTTATTTTTACTGTTTGAAACTCATATAAGACAGACTCTACTTACTGGGAGGAACCACAAACCAATTCGCTTTTATGTTTTATAAGTGTTATCATTTCAATTGAATCCCTTTGAATGATCTAATACAGTGTTATCAGAATCCATATGACCTAATAAAGTGGTATTGGAATCGATGATTTGTATTAGAATCGACAATCTAAGAGTAGTCTTTATATTGAAAATCTTTTGGATAATTAGTTAGATAAGTGTGTCTTGTTATAATGAACAATGGTACATAAAAATAAAACTAGTTAGCCTGAAGGATGTACCAATGTAAAAGAACTCACATTTTAAAGGAGATCGTTAAAAAATACAAGTGTGAGTCTAAGTCTCGTATTGTATAAAATTGAACAACATATGAGAAAAGACTCATAATTCAATATCTTAAAGTTTTAAATTGAAGGTAGTAGTAGACTCATATTTTATTAGTATTGACTCTTCTCAATTAATCTCCACCTAACAACATTTTC